GGCTCTTGATTTGCTAGAGCACGTGCGGCAGGTTAGGGCTGGCACATCTGCCCACGCCGCATGCATGCAGCCTGCGTTGCAGCACCGCTCCTGGGCCTGAGCTACAGCCAGTCTGCACCCCGGCCCACACCTCCCCAACTAGCTGAACAGCAGCCAGCTGCCCGCCCTGGGCCCTGCTCTTGTGGCTAAACTGCTGTTTAGCGGAGCCAACGCAGGGGCCTCGCAGCAAGGCCTGGGAACCTGCCCTGGGCGCTGTCACTTTACAGAGCGTCCCACGGCCGCGAGAGCCAGCTCCCGCCTGCCTAACGTGGGCCCCACAACCCTGTGCGCAGGAACCACACACAGGTGCAGCCACCTGTACGGCCAAAGGGGACGCCACCCTCCTGCTGGGTGAGTTGGACTTTAAAAGAAAAACTTTTCCATTAAACGCCTTTGCAGAAAAGAGCGTCTAGAGTGGCACGGATGCTTTTCCCTTCTACAGTCGGATGCTCTTCCACACAAGGACCTGCTTAGTTGCGAAACCAAGACAAGACTACCCAGTTCGTTCCACCATGAAGTACTGGAGCAATTTCTGCATCCAGCGCCTTTCCACCCACCACCCGGAGGCAGTGGCTCAGCAGCCTCCCCCCCCATGCTGTACAGCAGCCCATGCCCCTGGGCCAGTAGCTTTTTGCCCATAGTCACGAATACTGTATTTGTTTCTAGTGTCGATTTTACTCTCTACCTAGTTCTGGTGCTGGACGGAACGCCCCTGCCACGACTGCAGCAGCCCCGAGCAGAGGCAGCCTTATGCAGCGTTGCTTGGTAAACGTTTTTATGATGCTGCCACTGTGTAGGGGCAAGCCCCTGTGACCTCCCCCAGAGCTGGGGAGAGCTGCAGGCATTTTTTTACCATCACTTTTAATGAGGACGTTTGCACTCCCCAGCATAAAGAGTGACGGTCTTACACTTTGATTAGCACCCTCCTGACATGCCAACAGCCCTGGCTCATTTCCACCTGCCCACATAGGACATGGCCCTTTGTGGGGACGTGGGCCAGACGGGGCACAGTGCCGGATGAGGCTTGTTGAGCCCTAGCCAAGTACAGGCAAATGCTGGTCAACATGACTCAGCCCAGCTGTGCCCAAACCCAGAGCAGGGGAAGGGAGGCGGGACAGCTTTACAGTGTATCAGCACTAGGCACACTCGCCCTTTGGACCACAGCGCCTGAGCTAAAAGCAGCTGGCTCAGGCTCTAGCGCAGACTCATTATTCTCTCTGTAAAGTGGCCTGAGCGGCTCTAGATGGGACTGTGCCCCCCCCCCAGAGCAGGCATGGGGGTTGCACTTGCCCCAGCAGGTTGCGTGCGGCATGGGAGAAAGGTGGATGAGGGGACAGTGGGGGGAGAACTGAGCACAAAGCTGACACCCAGACGTTAGCCCAGGTCAGCCTGGGCTGTGTTTTGTGTAAGGAGGAGCAGACTGGGCTGTGTGGCCTGGGGGCACCGCCTCCCCCCATTGAATTGAATGTAGTAAAATGTTTCTTCTAGTGCAGGACACACGGCAGGGAGCAGGGGATGCTTCCTTTGGGGCATTAGGACACAGGGCCGTCTGCCACCCTGCAGCTCAGTCCAACTGCAGCGAGCAAGGCCTCATGCCCTGGGCCACGCCCCAGCAACGGGGGGAGTAAGGCCAAGCTGCGTCAGGTAGCCTGTTCTGGGCAGCGGGACGTAGCTGTGAGAGCTGAGGGCAGGCCGGTAGTAACTTGGAAACCCCCAGCCCAGCCCCTCAATCACACAGCCCTGGGGTGCAGAGCCCACCAGCCCTGAGCGTGGCTCCTGGCCCAGCCTGCTGCGCACAGAAGCGGAAACACCCACCGATCTCCTGTTTGGTTGACTTGTGTCGGGTCCAATGCACGCTGGTGTCAGCGCCCTGCCCTTGTTTCCCTCTCCCGCCGTGTGTGTTCCAACAGAACAATTCATGATGTGACAGTTGGGTAACTGTGATTGTGAATAAAGGTGATTTTAGGTATCGCACAGCTGCGTGAGGGCACTATTCTTGGCCAGTGGCTTGGAGGAGGGGCAGGCCGTTCCTTGGACCCGACCCAGTGACAGCAAAGGGATAGAAACAGCACAGCAGTGTCTCAGCCTGCAGCCACCCTGCCACACCGCAGGGCAGAAACAAGCCTGCCCCATACCCACAAAACCAGACACCTCTACCACTGACAGCCCTAGAGCCAGGAACTTCTGTGCCCAGTTCTGCCTTGGCTCATTGTTTACGGCTGCATAAAGGCTTGGACCCGACCCAGTGACAGCAAAGGGATAGAAACAGCACAGCAGTGTCTCAGCCTGCAGCCACCCTGCCACACCGCAGGGCAGAAACAAGCCTGCCCCATACCCACAAAACCAGACACCTCTACCACTGACAGCCCTAGAGCCAGGAACTTCTGTGCCCAGTTCTGCCTTGGCTCATTGTTTACGGCTGCATAAAGGCCACATGCACATTCCCCATGCCGCTGAGCCTGGTGCTTTGCTCCAAGGCAGGGTTTCATCCCACACTGCTGCTGCAGGCAGCTGCTACCGCCTGCAAGTGCACACTCAGGGACTCTCCACGAACGTGGGACTGTACCCGGGCCTGGCTGGTTTTTAAATGAAATCCATCCTCTGCCTTCCTGCAGGCTGGCTGGGCCTTCTCCCATTGTAACCAAGCACGAAGCCCAGTGCAGCGGCTGCCTCCCTAGGGTTCACATCTGATCAGCTCTTGCCTAAAGCCAGGGTTGCTCGTGCACTAGGGCGCTTTCTAAACCCTGCAAGAATTTGAGCAATACATGGCACCGGGGGACATCCGCAGTGCAATAGTGCAGCCATGCTCAGAACTGCACAAGTTGCTGCCTGAGCACTAGGACTACCCACACCCTGAAGTAGGGAGGTGCCAGCTGAATTCTCACATCTGATCAGCTCTTGCCTAAAGCCAGGGTTGCTCGTGCACTAGGGCGCTTTCTAAACCCTGCAAGAATTTGAGCAATACATGGCACCGGGGGACATCCGCAGTGCAATAGTGCAGCCATGCTCAGAACTGCACAAGTTGCTGCCTGAGCACTAGGACTACCCACACCCTGAAGTAGGGAGGTGCCAGCTGAATTCACTCCAGCAGCAGGTTCCACTTTCAGACCATTAATGAATATACATCCTGTTGCTCTGCTGCTGAATGGGAAAGAGCAGCAGGTAGGGAACAGAAGCACCAGCCCTGCTTAGAAATGCAGAGGTCTGATGGTTACAAGAATTAAAAAAACCACAACCCCACTTAGGAAAAATGCTAGGCCCAGTTTTCAGATTGTAACTCTAATGACTTACCTTCACCTTCTTGCTGTTCAATACATGGCACCCACACCCTGAAGTAGGGAGGGGCCAGCTGAATTCACTCAAGCAGCAGGTTCCACTTTCATACCATTAATGAATATACATCTTGTTGCTCTGCTGCTGAATGGGAAAGAGCAGCAGATAGGGAATAGAAGCACCAGCCCTGCTTAGAAATGCAGAGGTCTGATGGTTACAAGAATTAAAAACAAACAAAAAAAACCACAACCCCACTTAGGAAAAATGCTAGGCCCAGTTTTCAAGTTGTAACTCTCATGACTTACCTTGCAGCAGGTAGGGAACAGAAGCACCAGCCCTGCTTAGAAATGCAGAGGTCTGATGGTTACAAGAATTAAAAAAACCACAACCCCACTTAGGAAAAATGCTAGGCCCAGTTTTCAAGTTGTAACTCTCATGACTTACCTTCACCTTCTTGCTGTTAGAGCTGACCCCCCAGCAAGAGAGCTCTCAAACAAATCAGGCAACGCAAAGGGAAGTTCCAGTCCACATCAAAATAGACACGCTATTGAGAAAAATCAGGCAAGTCACAACTGGAAAGACTGAATCGGGGGGCTGAGGTCTTTCTGCCTCCCACTGCAGGGCTGTTGCCAGTAATTATTTGCATTAACTCATCATGGACCAGGTACTTCGTGGGTGCTGTAGTTAGAACACAGGAAGATGACAAAAAGAATAGCTGCTATGTCACATCACCCAACTGCTGGGACTGTCAATATCACAAGCCAACTTGCAGTCTATTGGTCTGAAACAGACCAGGTTTTGCCATTATACAAGTGTATTGCAGAATTTGTCCTTCCATGAGTACAGTGAGTTCAACCACACACAAATGCAATGGCAGGAAAAACATCTGGGACACAAAATGGTCAAAAAACTTTATTTTTGTTCTTAGGGCATATAAGAGGAGATGTAAACAAAATACAAAAAAATTTATCACAAACCAAATCTTACAATCTGCAAGCATTTGAAGACAGTATCCTTCCCCCCACTGACCCTTCAAATACTAGAAGCCTGCTCCATTTTTAACAAGCAACAACTCTGACCCCTGAAGGTCCCTAGTATCCCTTCCCCTCACTGGCCCTTCAACTACTAGAAGCCTGCTCCATTTTTAACAAGCAACAACTCTGACCCCTGAAGGTCCCTCAGGGGTTTTGCCAAGACCTAAAACCAGGGCTGGATTTCACTTTGAAAAGGACACTGCATCTTTGTGATAAAATACATAAAGACAACAAACATAAATATTACAAATATTAAGATATTTAGCACCACCTTTGGTCCAAGCTATCAAGGAACTGAGAGATGACCACAAGTACAGTCTACTTTGCAAGCCCTCTCTGCCTGAGACATTAAATATTGTGGTTTCACACTGCAAGAGCTTGTAAAGCTGGAAAGGCAGGGTTGAAACTTTGGAAGTCCCTCAAGCTGCTGCTGACCATGTAAAGCTGGAAAGGCAGGGTCGAAACTTTGGAAGTCCCTCAAGCTGCTGCTGACCATGCATGGGTGGAGAGATGGCTGCTGTTCTGACAAAAAGGTGCATGCAGAGGCTAACGATTAGTCACAACAGTATATGCAAAGCTCCGGAAGGGTCTGAAGCTTTGTACTGTAGGACATGCCCATGGTGCCAGAATCCTAATTCTGCTCCAATATTGCAGATGGCCTAAAATTGCACCATACTTCAGCTGAGAAAGGGCTGGTCAACAACTTCTGTATGCAGCTCCCCTGGCCATCCCTCCCAACGCGTCAGGTTATCAAAGCGCAGAGGCAGATGCCTGGGAAAGGAGCACTCTGGCTTTGGACCAGTACAGAAGGGTTAGCCCAGATATTTCAGCTGGAGGCATTTGTTTATCAGGCATCATTTATTCCAAATCCTGACCGGATATGCTTGATAGACACGCAATATGGAGCTGCCTGGCTTAGGCCTCTTCCATTCAAATCAAATGCACAGGTGTCAAAACTGGCACGATCACAGTACAGGGCATGATCAAGTTGATTCGTGACATTTCTTGGAGGAATCTGAGTCCATAAGCCCAAAAGGTTCAGCATGGCCAAGCTGATGGCACTATATCGAGAGTCTTAAATTTGATTTCCCAAAGGTGGAGCCCTTACAGCTCCTGTTCAATGCAAAATGTACTTGCTCAGCATCTCTGAAAGACCCAGCTGGTATTTATTAGGTACCTGAATATGGATTTAGGAGACTAAATGTGAGCAACACCATGGCATGTGTATTCCACACTCAACAGCTGCCACACGGCACATTTTGGACTATCTTTGGCAGATGTGGCGTATGGTCTTCACCCAATAAGGAATACATGTCGAGTTAATTGTTACTTAAATGAATAAAACACTTTTCTGCCAATGTCTTCTGGAACTAGCTAGTGAGAGTGAATGCAATGAACCGTGATTAATTCCCATTGCAATTGCTTTGGAAAAGCAAGTGCTGCTAGGCAAGTTGTATTTTGTGAATGTAACAAATCACAAACGCAATCCAAGAAAGGAAGCAACATGTTACATCAACTGCACCTCTTAGGTCCACACAGGCCAGTGCACTTCTGAAGACTGGCTGAACCCTGCAGCGTTAGCTGCAAAAGTGGTTGGACCTCAGTTATTAGGCTTGATTTGAATCATGTCCAGTAAAGAAATCAATAGGGTTGGCCAGTTAGGGTGAGCCAGGAAGAATAAAGGCTAAAATCAAGGCTACCTGCTGGGCATGGGATGTACAAGGATCATGCTTTATCAGAGGTGACTAGCACCACCATGCTGGCAGGACTAGCACAGCACAATGAGAATATCACTCTACCAAATAACTCCCCCAAAAGGCAGGGTGCTACAGATGCAGCCTGACCCAGACCTGCAGAGTGACTTCTCATTAGACAGTCACTCCAGATAAAACCTGCTCGCTGACCAACGGCACTAAGCCACAAAGTTTACCTGGCCAATGTTGTCACTTTGGATGCAGTCCTTGTTTTTTGCAGGTAAAAGAAATTTGTCTTTGCTGATCAGAAATCGATCAAACAACAAAAGGTGTTTAAAAGGCAGATTTGGTGTTGGCCTTTAGTTTTCTGTCATTTCAGACAGACTGTGAGGGCATTTCACAGTGATCATTTCAAAAATCATCAATTAGCAAATGGTGATGCAGCTGTGAACTACATTTAATCACAGGGGTTCTACATTTAATCCCCACGAGGGAAGGTATTTTCTCTGAGTCATACAACTAATTTGCAGATTGGGGAAGTAATTTAAGGGACACATTGTTGCAAGCTGTTTCCACCTGGCAAGTCACCATCATAAACCAGTTCTCTCTCAAGCAAGCCATCACAGAAAACAAACACACTGCAGTTGCTGCTTTAAGTCTAGCTCCATCCTGGCTACAGATCATCATGGGGTAAGTGCTGATTCCACTAAAGTCAATATCACATATACCCATCCATGCCACAGGATCGAGATGTGGCATTTAGAGATTAAATGCCTCTTTAGTAGAGATTTGATCAGGTGAAACTCCGCTGACTTCACTAAAGCTGTGTCAGACCAGCAGTGAAACTAGCCCAATGCTGGTTTTTTTTTTTTTTTTTTTGAAAAATTGTTTCTCCTTTTTTTCCCCCCCTTTCTTTCTTGGGAATGATCAGTAAATACCATCACTGCTTTATTTCACCGCTCCCAAAACAAGCTGAACTAACTCCCGCCTTCATCCTCTCTTTAAAAGTTTCAATTCTTCTTTCATTTATACTGCAACAGAAACCACATCAACTTCCACACAACCCCAAATGAAACGGCTTCCATATTAAAAAACAAACAAACAATGACAACCCTACACACTCACCTAGACCAGCCACACATTTCTCTATCGCTTGCCACCAACATTCTCTCAAAAACCTCTCTCTCTCAGATGCTAATATTCCCACCTCTCAGTCAAGGGAAACTTAAACCAGTAGACAGCAATGGTAAGTGTCCAGTAATTATGGTCCCATTCAAAACAGACACCTACAAAATCCACAACATGGTGTTTCCAACCAAGTCCCACACTGTTTGGGCTTTTTACATTTTCAAACCTGGATGCCTGATACATTGAGGTCTGAACAGCATACTTTGATGCTCACAAAATTTTACACCTGGATAGGCAATGCTGAAGTGTTTAAAAAGTGCTGTATGGCCTTGATTTGCGCCCAAATCAAAATCCCAATGTTCAGAACTACTCACTGCGCACAGCTGGCACTGGTTTTACTAGAAACTGACTGTGTAGTACTTTTGAAAATAGGACCACTTAAACACGCTAAACACGAATTTAGGGACCCACATTTGAAAAATCTGACCTAATTCTCAAAGGCAACACAAGCAAGTGATCAAGTTGTTGAGATTCATTTAGATAGATACAAAATTTTAAATCCTGAGAACTAGAGAATCCTCTTGAAAACACTGCCATCCATGGGAAAACAGATACTGTTTGTAATTACACAACTGTAAAATAAGGAGACAGCATTTTGATGTATGACAAGAAGTTAACGATTGAGCGCTTAGACAAATTCAGAACAAACCAAACCGGAGCTACTCTGAACTGAGTTACATGCGTGCGGGATCATGTACTGAGTCCCAGAACAGAAAAAGCAAGTGCAATGAAGACAGACCTGGCTTGCAAAATTACTCCTTACCCCCCAAATTCACCACAAGTAATTTTTCCTCCCTTTTCAGTGAGCTTATCCAGTACCTCCTAGAACTGAGAAACTGCCTAGAGAATGGAAACAATTAGAAACTTGGTCCTTTTCTGACATTTTCCTTCACTGGCAACCATTTTTTCCGGTCATTTTGTGTTTATCTATTGTTTTTCATTCTCCTTTTTCAACAGTCCTATTTTATTCCAATCATTAAATTGTATTGTGAGAATGAGAATTCTTTTTTGGTTCAGGAAGAAGACTGCTTCTAGGGATGGAAGAACTTGACCCTACTTGAATGTCACAAGGTCTAGATTCAGAACATAATTGGTCACACTTGAAGGGTTTAGAGTTTATAGATTACACTGATCTGTAGAAGTCTAGGCCTTACAGCTACAGATGAAATATTTGGTGAAACTGAACATTAACTGCAAATGTTACAAACTTAACCTTTTGGAAATCTCTGGAACTTAACAAATACCAGCTGGTTTGCCCACTCCTGACTCTAGGGGAAGAAAAGAACAAGAGAAGCAGAGAGAGGGGCTTAGCTGGTTACAAAAAGTATCAGAAGAGCAAAATAATAGTGTACAAGGTATAAAAACCTCATACGTTTCCCAGTAGTGTCACTAGCAACAGGCTATTTCACAACATACAAAGTGGGACTGCTTGGATAAGGGTTGCTCTAAGTGGATCAGGAAAAGACTTGGCCAGCTTTGACCTTCTGATGATCCTAGACAGTGTCAAGGTCTCCCACACGCACCAGGCTCCTTGATTAAAAACAAATGAACACCATGTTTGTCTTACCTCAGCCGATCATGAACATCAGGATGGAAGTTGTCATTTTATCAAGCTGTGTGATTGGGCAATAATAAAATATACTGACTAACACGGAGCAATGACAGAGTTTAAAAAAAAAAAAAACATAGCAAAAGCACCTGCAGTGTCAAACCCAATAATTTATGGCCTTAAGAAGAAACATCCCAGTTCAAATTTTACCTTTATCTAATCACCTCTTCTCCCGTCATCCAGTTACCTCTTTTGTCTTACCAAATTTTCCTTCTTATTCTCTTTCCCCCCATCCCCACCCTCCCAACCCTTGTTTCGATTCAGTAACAAACAGGAGTCTCAACACAGGACAGCAGTGGCTTATGCTGCAAAAGGACAGGTCTGTAAAACGCCAGTGTGAAGCTTTAAACCAAAGTGTATTTAAATTGCACTCTCCAATGATAATTAAAGCTACCTGAATGCAAGAACAAACTATGAACACACTGTGTGGGACCAGCCCAGCCTCGTGACTCTAAAATGGAAGCGACTAATTTATTCTGCCTATGAGTGTATTGAGCCTGACCCAATAGTCCCCATGGGAAAATTACCCATGGGTCAGCTTTTTATTTCAACAGGAATTTTCCTCCAGAAAGAAAATCAGAACTTGGGCTCCCACAGTGAGGATATTAGTGAAAACAATTTCCCAACCACAACATGCACCCATACATACACACACACCCCATTTACATCATCCCCTCCAAAAAAGCGAGGGATCTAAGTTTGTAATTTCAGATGCAGGTTTCTACGGAAGTCTCGGGATTTGGTTACAAGTTGGGTCTGAGGAGGTGAAGAAACAGCAAATTAGAGACCTGCCTCCAAAGCTTCTGAAGTGGATGAAAAGACTCATGAGCTTCAGAGGACTTAGGATCAGGCCCCGTGTACAGTACTTGATCGGAGATTATAATTAAAACAAAACTGAGATGTATGAATGGACTGAGAAACGTAGGCACTGGGACATGGACGCTAGGGCCATGAAATGTTTAAAAACAAGTCACAGCTCTCCAACATAGCTGCCTTGTTGATCTCTCGGCCACCACCAGAAACAAAACCATAAAATAATTTACACAGACACACATTTGCTCTCAGAGCAAACAATCTGTAACTTAAATGCTGAAGTTATATACAGCAACCCTTCCCCCAGCAGACAGACAATTTCCTGGCTCTTTAAGGGGAGAGCTGGTTTGTGGGATACCAGCCACTAGCAGCAGAACTCCGCTTGATATTAAAGTGTTAAGTACAACCACCTGTGAAGGGGGTCATAGTAGGTCACGTTAGCACTTTTCAAATCAGTCTCTTTTGCTTTGAAGATCTGGGGAAGGATATCTGAACTCAAGATATCCCCACCCAGGTTAGAGTAACCTTCAGGCTGTGCGCTCAGGGCCTAACTCGTCATGATACTGGCTTTACTTCAGAGTAACTTGCATGGGTGTTAGTGGAGTTCCTCTTAATATTTGGAAAGCATGAAAAGAGATTCAAGACCTCTCCCTGCAAACTGAAATGAGGTTACTCCATTAGGCTCTTTGTTCCTTTCCGGAAATAAAATCCTTATAGGAGTTCAGAAGAAGACCATCAGACGTGCTCAGTTTTGCTGTTTAAATGCAAAGGACTTGCCTACAATAGCACAAGTTTCTGAAAAGACTAAGTAACCGCAGGGCAACAGTGAACGCGGGTGGAAGAGAAAGGAGGATTGAGTTGCAGTGCAATTTTCCTAAGTACATTAGCCTGGGCAAGGTGAAATGTTCAATGACATCTGGAAGCCCGAAGCTCCAGTTTATAGTTCATTTGAACAAGGTGAAAATTATACAGGTTTTGGAAGGGTATGAGATTTTGTAGTTTATTGGAAACTAGAGCTATTTGGGGTGAAAAGGAATTCGTTTTCCACTCAAAGTAGTCCCCTGGATTGAAAACTTTTTTTGAAATTTCCCAATTCAAGAATGTCAACATTTCAGATCCAAAATCATTCATTTGACAAAACGGATGTTATTTTTGCACATCAGAATATGAAATCAAAATGTGACCTTTCCCATTGTTTCAAGGCAACGCCTTCAGAAATTTCACAAATAAGTCTCCACAGAGAGACTAGTGAATTATTTTGACAAAACTGGTTTGACAAAAAATGAAGGTTGAAGAATATTTTGCAAGTTACGTGGCCCTATTAATAAACAAAGGACAGGATGCTATTGAAACCTAAAGGATAAAAAGTTTTAATGCCTAGCTAAACTTCAGACTATGAAAATTTAGAATGAGAAGTTTGCTGGAAAATTATGTACTGAAAGAAGACGATTATGTATCGATGATACAAGAATAATGCGTAATTGCGTAAAGGGCAGTACTGATTTTACGCATTAAGGGCATTTTTGCTTATTCCATGCATGGCTCTTACAACATGCATGTATAATCCCTGCATTTTTGCTAATAGGTGTTTTGCTTATGAAACAGTCATTCTATAAAAAAACCAACAGTCAACAATCCATATGCACCAGAGTTGTGTTTCCTTCAAACTGACCCGTGGCCTTCCCATTCCGCCAACATTTTCTTAGGAGTGCATGTCTTGAAAATAATTACAGATGTTTCACACTGTGCGCTTCACTCCAAGTCCCGGCTGAGGAGCCTGTTTATTCTGTGAATATTGCACTTATCCACTCATTGGATTTTTTTTCTTGAGAATGCAGAATATTTTGGGGGGGGAAGTAACAAAACCATTAGTAAGATACAACATAGCAAAATACGAATTAACAAGGTACTTGAAAAGGTCTAAAATTAAAAAAAACAAAAAACAGTACACATTCTAACTCTGTTAATACTAGTAATATGAAAATAATGCTTTACCAAATTCCCTTGTGTTTCTTCTAAATAATAAAAGCAGTAACTTTTTTCTTTAACTGAGGAAAGCAATGAATATATATTACAATAACATATGATGCACTAAGATCTGAAAGTGATTAAAACAATTATATAACGCCTTCGTCAAGATTTACAGCATTACTAAAGAAAGAATCTTTTGAAGACAAAATTATTATTTTAGCTACACCTGTGTAAATGTGGAGTAATTCCATTTATAACATTCAACTATGAGCAAAAGTTAAACTTTAGTTATCCAGTCCTTGCTAAAAATTCAAACCATAATATACTTTTTAAAAAAAGAAAACTTGCAATCAGTACATATGAACACACATCCGTACCAGATAGTGTATGCTTAATGTCTTTTTGCAATACAATTGGATTTTACAAAGTATAGTAATTGATACACAGGTATATTAAAATGCATATTTCGCAAGGCATAAAGGTTAAGCCAATTAATAGGAACCATCTTCAAGTGATTAAGGCTAAGAAGTTTTTAAGGCTAAGAAATTTTTAAAAAGTTAATTTGGAAAGGTTCTTTTCTGGATTAAGAAAACTTTTCAGGCATTATATAAACCTCAATAACGAACTCAGAAGTGCTCATTATTATTAAAGTTGCAGTATACAGCAAGACAATTTCACATTTTTGAATTTGGAATTTGGTATCACTGAAATGCATCTTGGACTTTTGCAGGTTCAATGGGCACATTTTACTTTTTGGAAAGCATGGCTGGATCAAAGCAATTATTTAGCCCAATAGAATGGCAGCACCCATCTCCTTTGACCACAAGAGGGCACTCTGACTCCACAAAATACTTCAGTAGCTCTCCAAATTTCTTTTACTTGTTTCCAGTTAAAAAACAAAAACAAAACAAAACACCCACCACCACCGATTTATATATGTGCTGCTATCAAGTGAGGTTCATACATACATTTAAAAATCGTTCGTGTCAGTTTTGGCTAATTCAGTTAAAATAAAGGGCCATTAACTCTTCCCTCATCTTCTCCTCAGTTGTCCTGCCATTTTTTTGTTCTTTTGCAATCCAATTCTCTTATTTTTTTGGGATGTGTCGGGGCGGGGGGAGAGTTTCCTCTGTCACTTTGTGCAAGATCTTAACAACCAAGAGGGGGAAACAGCTGGCTACATAGGGAAACAGTGAATTTGACTACACAAAAAAAAGTGCTGTCATCAAAAATAAAACTCAACATCATCTCTAATTTCTTTCAGGTCCAGTGTTTTTTAAGTGGGAGGGAGGGGGAGAGAAGTTGGTTTGGCAACAACAGTACATAGACTAATGTTGCTGCTTTTGTAAAAACATTATGATACCACCACCCCATTCAAGTGAAGCCTAGATCTGAACATTGCTGAATAGCAGGTAATCTGGATCTGACATTCATGTAGTTCCGTTTCATTTCTCCAAGTCTCATTTAAAATCAAATGCATTTATTGTCACTTTGCATTCTGTCGGGCATACGCGTGTATTTTTTTTTTTTTTAATGGGGAAGAGGCTGAGTTACAAAGGGGCCGAACTTCTCAGCTCTGTTTCCTTCTTTGAAATCTGAAAGAAGCTTCACAGGAGTAATCAATGGCTGGTGAGCAGAACTAACTGGCGAGAAAATCCCTGCAAGAAACCAGCATTTGCAGGCACTTACTGATGTTCTTTTGTACCTTGCTGCTGCAAGTCATTCTATGCTGCAGCCAACTGTGTTGTTGAGAACTGGCTGCGCACAATGTCACACAGACAGATTAAACCAAGTCCCTCAATCAGGGCTGAACAAGCAACCTACTGGTTTAAGGTGTAGGGGAAATATTTCATGGACTGGCAGGTGGAGAGGGATGGGGGACAAATGATGTTACAAAGTTTAATAATGGCCCCGATTGCAAAGGCTTGATCCTGGCAGGACCAAGTAGGTCACAGTGGGGTTTGAGCAATTCTGATTCCAGAACCCAGTCTCGGAGGTGTTCAAAGCTACCCGACCCCCAAACATGCAGGAGGATTATATCAAGTCAGCCCCATTGCAGGCTCCAATTACCCCACCAGAGGTCACCCCCACTCCGATTTCTTGTATCTGTGGCCTTTTATTTTTTCTGTTGGATACAATGGGAATATTCCTAAATGGTTTTCTTTCTGATCAGAAGCATGGCTCTCTCAGCAAGAGCACAAATTCACGCTGTTCCGTATTTTGCAAGTTCAGTGGCTCAATGCAGAAGTATTGGGAGCTGTATTTTTTGCCTCCTCGGGAGATGACCTCATGAAAAGTGCTGTCAAAGCAAAACTTTAGCATATTTTTAAATAATTATAAATTAATTTTAATAAATATGTGCTTTTAAAAAATGAACAATTATATACTGCACCTTTAAATAATGCACTTAGTTCACTGTGTTGACTTCCATTTTGGTTTTTTTATTGTTAAAGTGCATTAATTCAAAATAATGAACCACTTCCGCATCATTATTGTTAAATCAAAACAACACTATACAAGTCACTAAGTTACTACTGTTAGTACTGCAATCTAGCAGATAACTATGTATTGCTCTATTTAATACTGTCCAGCAGAAGAATAGAATACTTCTATTATAACCTCACAACAGCTCCAGCAGTCTTTAGTGACTGCTACCATATTAGTACAACTAAAAATGGAAGAAGCATGAGAGATGGGACTGCAGCGCCTCAGACAGACATCCAGTACGACGTGGTTAACTGGATATATACAAATATATAGTGAAACATAAGGTAGAGAGGACTCTACACATTTTGATATGGGCTGTCGTGTAGATACACCTCCCCCTTGTGACTTACGCTGGACACAAGTAGAACACCCTCCCCACCTCACCCACTATTTCTCATGGGTAGAACTTTCAAGAGAGCTCCATTTGCAGCCTTTGATTGCAATGTAATGGTTTTTCAGCTAGCAAAGGGATGTCAATCATGTCAGCTGTAGGCATCTTTCCCTTGAAGTTTTTGTGGTGATTAGTTAAAAAAAAAATCCAAAAAAAGTCAAGAAGAATTTGTAAATTGTGTAATTTTTTTTGGCTGTGAAACACTCCCCTGATAACACATTCGGTACGTGTTATTTTAGGGCCCACCCTCACCCACGTTCCAGCTAACTAAATCATCATACCCTTTACCTTCTCAGTGCCAAATGATAACTGGCATGAAGTTTGGCTGGAAAATAAAAAGGGCAAGTAATACAACAACTCGTGACTTTTTCTCCTTTAAAGCAGAACCCAAAAATGCTGCCTCTTAAGCCGCCAGACATTGATCTTCACTTAAATGGTTAATGAAACCAACAAAAACTGCTAAAAGCAGGACTTGCTCAAATACAGGATGGATTTATAGCGACTGACGCTTACAGTACAAGAGCTGGCTACCTAGGAATAACTCCACAATCCAAGTCCTTTCCAAATGATTGTATATTTTTCCCAAGGCCTTCCTCCTCCCCATGTGTCACATTTCTAAAACACTAAATTTATAAATAACACGAAAGAAAAAGAGGTGGGGAGAAGAGGCAGCTTTTTGGTTAGTCACATTGTATGCCTAATTGCTTTGTTTTTAGAGTTTTTGAGCTTGAAAATTGCATGCATTCTTCGCGGTACAAATATACTTTTTGGATTCAAGTGGGAAACCAATTGCAAAATTGACTCCCATTATAATTTTCATTGAAAGAAAAATGTTTTGGTAAACCAATAAAAAAACCCAGAATGCACAGGAAAAACAAAAACAACTCCCCCAAAATATACAAATTAAAGATTGTGCAGACTGAGTTCAATGGCTTTCCCTCTGCCTTTTTTGTAAACACTGATGTTGCAACCGGTTATGGCTGTTTCTAATGCAATCACTTTATGGGTCCTATGAACATGCTCCAATTTGTATCAGACAGTGAAAATAGGAGTAACACATTTGATTGCTTTTCTTTGAGGCCTTGGGCATTTTGTATATTTAAAAATGGTAACAATTTGGAGAAGCCCAACTCAGGAAAGATAATCAACCTGGATCTCCTGACAGGAGTCACCACACTGAACTTAACAAGGAGTCTTTAAAGTAAGCATTGTTCACAAAATTGTGTCCATAGTCTTGTTTCTGTGATGTGTTTGCAAGCTCCTGATAGCCATACAAGTCTTAGAATACCTGGAGTCTCAACTCAAGAGTTGACAGGAAAAAAAAAAAAAGGCAGCAAGAAAAATCAAACCAAACCAACCCAACCCTCCTAAACATCATTTCTGAGGTTTAGTAATAGTGACAAAACACAGATGAAGTTGGAGACCAAATCTCTCCACGATGAAAAGGCTCCAACGCTGGAACTGACTGTTGAGAAGAGTGAAAAAAAATCTGAGCTTCTAGAAAGGGCTTCAATTTCAGAATCCAATTCCCACTTGCGCTGCACAGTGAAAAGTTGTGAACACACATTCAGAACTTCCGGATATTCCATGCAGAGATGAGGGGAAGGAGAGAGGAAGCAGCAATTCTAAATTGTTTGGCACTAAACTCCCCCCCAACGATTTCCCCAAGTGGAGGCATCAGTTTGTGTATCTCTCGCAAAGGCACACGTTTGGTTTCCTACCATTAACAAGAGGAAAGATGGGCTCTCATACCCTGTTACACAGATTAGCAACATCATCCTCCCAGAAAGGGCATTTGACTATGCTGTTTCTTCTTTTTCTTTATTTCCTTCAGGCCACGTTCATCCCATTAAGCTCTGCAAATGCAGCACACTCTTGTCGTCAGGACAGCTTAATCAGTCCCTTTGCACATACTAGAGCACAGAAATTATTTTGAGGGTATACCAATGTTTTCTTCAGGATGTACCTAGCAGGAACAGTATAAATTAGGGAATTTAGAGATATTGCAACATTAATTTTTTTTCTCCAAATAATTTGAGGGCACCCAGCCTTTAAACGGTTTCCCACCATCCATGATCTGACAGTACCACCAACCATTTGGGTTTCTCTCCAGGACTTCCATGCAGACACCTTCCTGAAACCCTGCTGTTTCCTCATCCCCTTCATAGTCTGCAATGGAAACATAGAGATCCTTGAGATTGTTGTGGATGAACTGGGATTTTTCAATGGGCTTTGGCCGAACCGTGGACACTGGAATTCCATTGCGTTGGGTGGACAGATTGGAGACTGTCTCCAATCCCTCCATGCCCAGTTGATCAGCCTGCTTGGTCTTCAAGTCACCGGGCTGTGACCGCGCACTGCTGAAAGAGGAGTTCCGGCGGACAGCCCTTAGGTGGTCTGTAGTATTTAAGGATTCATTCCTGCGCAAGGAGCATGGCAAATTATTATCCTTCGGGGGTGGGGAGACGAACACAGACTGTGGCCTCACTGCTAATTGTCTCACCCCATTCCTCATTTTCACAGACCCTGAAGTTTTGGAAAAGCCGCCAGGGGGTTTGCTTGGGATGGGGGGCGTTGCTTTTTTGCTCTGGTTGATGGTGTTCAAAGCCTGAACTCTTTTCTCTATCTTCTCCAAGCTATTGGACTTGCTTTCATTTCTTCTGTTCCTGGGCAGCGAGAGGTCAGTCTCTGTGGCTGAGGTTTCTCGTTGTTGGTTATCGGCAAGTACCAGGTAGTGGGAAGGAGCCCACCCTTCCATATCTCCATACTTCATGTACCACCACCCACTGGCTTGCTTTTCCAGCACTTCCACTTCCACTCCTGCTGGGAAGCAGAGTTCAGAATCCTGAACCTTCTGGTAAGAGTCAGTGGTCACATAGAAACATTTTGCATCGTTCTCTTGCTCGGTCTTGGCTGGATGGTTAGAGCAGAAAATGGAATGGGAGGGAGATGTAATGAGATCTGCTGAGCTTCTTCTAAGGGAGTCTTCCTGGTTCTCAGGAGCTATTTGTGGAGAGCTTTCACACTCTTCGCTTTTTGAACCTTTAAGTCCACCTCTGAGCTGCCCAGTTGGCCTCAGCTGACGCCTTAAAGTGCTAATATCCATTATTTCTTGGCCCTGAGAATCTGCCTTATTGAGGAAAGGTTTGGGTCTGACCATGGGCTTTGCTTTGGTGGAAGGGCTCAGTCCAGACTCCTTCTTTGCACTTACTTTTGGCATGCTATGTAGGCCAACATCTGAGGCGGATCTGGGTTTTGTCTCTTCGCTCCTAGAAAAGGGACATTTTCCAAGATCGGGCTGAACACTTTTGTCCGATTTAAGCTTCAGGAGTGATGATTTGGGGGAATTGGAGCATGGAGAGTTTCTTCTGATGAGAGCGAGCGAGGAGCTTTTTTGGGAATCCGAGTCTCCACTAGATTCTTTACATGACAAAGTGTCCTCCACATATGGTCTGAATCCCTCATTTTCATAGATGATCTCTTCTTCGAGGGCAACATCTTCGGAAGACTCGCCAACTCTGAACTTCGCTCTCTGCAGGGATGAGGCAGGGGACGGCTTGTGTGTCTGAAACATACGTTTTTCCAAGGAGCTATCATCTCCATGGCTCTCATTCGACTCGGAGTCAAAACCAAAGGCAGGTACATCATACTCTGGTTCTTCATACTTAAGCTTTTGTGGGGAGTCCTGGGTGTCTCCCGATGAAACAGTCCCAGGAGCTGTTCCTTCTTCAGAGTCTTTTGGTTTACTGGGAGGGGCTGGAGGAGGGACCTTGGGTCGGGTTAGAGTACTAGTTCTTCTGTTTAAATTGGGCTTCTTCCTTTTATCAATGTATGACGCTGGAGCCCACCCTTCTTTCTCTCCAATCTGTACATACCACCAGCCACCAGAGTTCTTATCAATAACCTAAGGGACGATGATCAACACAGCCATTAGTTTGGAGAGTTAACAGAAGAAAGTCATCACTAACATTTGTACAATGCGCGGCCATTAAGAAACATTAGCATTGTGTGTGGCTGCACCATATACACTCACCTCTGCCTTTTGGCCACCGCGAAAGCTTATTCCATCAGAAATACAAGACTGGAATTCTGCAATAGTGTAGTATTCCACTTCCACGGATGGAGGCTCGGGGGGCTTAGGCAACTGGAAGCCCTGTGGCGACAAAGAAAAGTCTTGTTTAGCGAGCAACTAGCAATAAGAGGCTGGAGCATCCGCATGGACTGTTATTTGCCAGCTTCCAGTGGTGCTCAACAAGTGGCATTCCTTTTTCCTGATTTACATCGTAGTACAGGGGTGGGCAAGAGGCTGCCAGCAGGCCAGGTCCAACCCACCTAGCTACTGGGTCACATAATAGAGAAGAAGCTATTTTGTTCAAACCCCTGCCTCATCATTAACCAATTCTGAAAACAATAGGGCAATTTTATTAGCTTCTTTTCAGATCTTGGAGGGGAACAAAGAAAAATTGGAACTGGGTCAAATTCCATTTCTCTAAGCGTTTTTCTCTCTATAGCATCCATGATTAACTTAAGTGCTGCATGAAATGACATGGCTCTTTATTAATAAGCACAGGTCATAGTTGTGATGGAAAAACTGAAGAGCTAAGGACAAAATCAGTTTCTTGCATTAAAAATATGACTTACACATATAGGTCTGAACTGTGAGACAGTTAAGACAGAGATCGCGGCAGCAAGATTCTGAACCAGGAAACTGATGAAAAGCAGCAACATTTTTTCTTAAATACAGCTCCATTGACTTCTAAACCACCCTTGATGTAAGAAACATGCATCATTTTAACTGCAAGGAGGTAGTTTGGCCCAAATATAAACCTTGCCTAGCGATGTTTCAATTCTGAATTTCACCACTGTAAACTTTAAAAAATAGCATGGGATGCAGCAGAATAATGCTTTCAGCTTGGCTTCAGGATGGCTTGAATTAAACTGAGCTAATAGGGAACAGACATACAGGATGCTTCACGTGTGTTTTGTTATCATGGAGTTAATTACAGCAGTTTGGCCCAAATATAAACCTTGCCTAGCGATGTTTCAATTCTGAATTTCACCACTGTAAACTTTAAAAAATAGCATGGGATGCAGCAGAATAATGCTTTCAGCTTGGCTTCAGGATGGCTTGAATTAAACTGAGCTAATAGGGAACAGACATACAGGATGCTTCACGTGTGTTTTGTTATCATGGAGTTAATTACAGCA